GATCTGATGACAGAAAGGAGTCCAAATTCATTATTAAATACTTGATACGTTACAAAATTGGTAGTTAACAGGAATGATTATATAACGGCTTATTTAATGTCATTTATTACTCATGATTATATCATTAAAGCTGAGGCTTCATTCCTTTACCTAGAATTATCTATAAAAGGAAGAAGTATCATCATTTGTAAGGACACGGAATACTATTGAGAATTCATTGAAATACACGTCTATTTGCTTTTTTACCATCATTCTCAAAAGTATTTTATTTTGTCTCCTGATTATCAGTAACCTGAATTTCTTTTTAGCTTTGACCAAAGACTCAAATTTTTGGTTAAACAGGCACAAATTAGAGATTCTGTAAAGTAAGAAGTGATTCTTTATATCTCAAACCTAACCATCCACTATCATACAATCTCTAACCAATACTTAGGAGGCTCTTGTTGAGCAAATGTAAGTATGATAATACGAGTGTTTTAGTTTCGTTGTACGTTGTTCTTCATTAAGTATACTTGTTGGTAGAAACCTTTCTATTCTTCGCAGGGCTTTGCGCTGCAGCACAGAACGTTGTGCAGATTTGTGGTGCTCAGCAATAAAACCAAATTACACAATCTATTTTTGGAAATAAATAGCCATTTAAGATTTTGAGTAGCTAGGTTAATTACGTGGGAGGAATTGAAATAGTACATTTTTTTTTTGAAAATTAACTAAGAAATACTACTATTACTAGTTGTTTAACCAGAAAATAGGAATTTCGGTCAAAGCTTATTTTTAGAAATTAGAAGTACTCGCGCTACTGATAATCAAATAAAGAAATATTTTTGCAATGGGAAAGGAAAATTAGAATGAGAAATAACGAAGCAATCAATATAAAGCAAAGTATAAATAAGTATATTCCAATAGTGATAAGAACATATCCATACAAATGTCATTTCTTTTCCTTTTATAGTTATTTCTAAGTACAACGTCTCTTCCCTCTCATAATCGAGTTATTATGAGCATTTAATGACATTAATGAAATGTTATAATTGTCAATCGTAACTGTTTCGTGAAGATTCTGTAACGTTTCTATTCATTCATGCTCATTAATTACAGATTAACGAATCTGTACTTTTTGTTGTCTTGATTCATTCCGCCGGTGTCTCTTCAAATTATGAAGAGACCTGAGCGACCGTTTCTTCTTATCTCTTAGATGCTTTGCTCGTACCTATTGTCACACCTCCTTTTTATCCGATGGGGGATATAAGGGATATGGAGTTTTTTCAATTTAAGTGACATAAATCGAAATGGGATTATTTATTTAATTTCAGAGTCGCCACATGGTTTATTCATGGTGTCCCAAGTCACCGGTTTATTTTAAATCTCAAATCGAGGAAATTTGACTTTGTTTTACAGTCCGCGAACACAGAAATCCGGGTAAAGAATTTTGTTAACCCGGGAGAAGGTGTTAGGCATTTTCGGGTTCCGTGGTTTTAGCACAGTCGCTCAACTATCATTAATTGGCCTAATTATCTGATTTATTACATGTTTTAAACCTATTGTGCATTTTTAACCTTTAACCACTTTTAATTGTTTATGGATTTATTTTTGGAACAAGTCACGATTGTCGTGCACCTGTTTGTTTTTGTACACGTTGCGAATCATGTCACGGGAACCGTATCCACGATCTACAACATGTGAATTTTATTATATGTTCGAAGTTGTGGTCGGGTCACATGAAATATGCACCCGAATTTGGGAATTAGGTATCACGACAATGCCACGGGAACCGTACCCATAGTCGTGATGATTCATTTAATAGTCGCGCCTAAAAAAAACGACGGTGTTCAAATTATCTCCTAAGCTACTTTGAGATTACGTGTGAAAGACATGAATTATAGAAGTTATTGTATGAAGATGTCGTATTGATTTGAGGTTCATAAAAAAAAGGGACTGATAAATGTGGTCACACGCCCTTTGGGCTGTAATCAGTCCTAATTTGTGAATGGGCCTGAATAACTTTGACATACCCAAGCCCAAACTCGGCTCTCCTTGATAGAGCCCAGGAACTTGTACCATATTAGCCAAGACATGAAATGAGCCAATTAAATTCATCAATCCAATAGTGTGCACTCCAAACTACAAAGTTAAGCATGAATAACTATGTTTTTCAGAAATTAAACATGTGACTATTCATCACATTGCAAACTTGATCACTATAGCAAACAAGAAATTTGAGCCTTATTTTCAACATATACTCATTACACCAAAGTAACTTAATAGTTACAATAAGGAATGCTAATTCACCTGTTTTCAATTTCCGATTCTATCCATGATTGTTAGTGGAAATCTAATCAGAATAAAACCATACAAATAATAAATTAAATGGCAAGTGAATTCAGATTAGGTATTGTCATTTAAACACAACTAATTATCAATTAACCAACATCTAACCTCAGGATCCAATTTCTACAAATGTAATGGTTTCCGAATTGAAAGAGATGAAGAATCAAACAAACGTTGCAGCTAAACATGCTAGATTTAGATGACTAAACACAAATACAGAATTGATGAACCAAGTTTACATGCCAAAATTTCGTATTACAGTCTTAAAAAAAATCAGTCAAGAGAATCTGCAATGACTTCAACCACTTCTGATGGCCAGGCTTTGGTTTCACCAATTTAGTCATAACCCCTAAACTACATCCCTGTTATTTGCAACAATAGCCTTTTCTTGTCACCAGTTTACTGCCAACGATACTTAGTACAGTATTAGGAATCATTTGCATTAAAATTCATGCTCAAAATAGCCCATAATATCAGAACAGGACCTAACAGAGATAACATGCTTTAAAGTAGCTGAAAGATAGTAATGCAACAGTAAGATCGAAATAGATTTCCATTCCAAATGCTTAAACATTTACAACCTTTTACATGAAATATAAAATACTACATCACAAAAGACACGTAAAGGCCCAAGAAATCACAGAAGAAACTCCAAGTCAAACATGTGAGTTCATGGATGTGTACCTTGACAACAGTAGAAAAAGAAGAGAATAAATCTCTGGAAAATCTTGGAAGAAAAGCAACAGCAAGAAAAATAGAAAATAGCAACAGCAGACGAAACAGCACAGCAGTAGAAAACCGAGGACCAAATGAAACTCTAAAGCCAAAAACTCCTTGCCAAATGAGAAAGGACTTCTCAAACTTTTCAGAATTTTTTGAGTCTCAAAATCAGTCTTAAAAATGAAAAAATGGTCTAAATCTCAGAGACCTTTTGTGTGTGTGTATTTTGAGCGTGAATATGCTGATGAGAATGTGTGTGTGAGTGAGTGATGGTCTATTTTTTATATAGAATGCACAAAGATAGCATAACAAGAGAATATTCTACCCTAAAATTCTGAAATGTCAGATAGTACAACATCTTTTAACAGATGTCTATCCTTTTTTTTTACCCAAATTCAGCATTTTCATACTAAAAAGAGGGACAACTGTCCAATATTAGAACCTTCTGATATTTTTCCCCATTTTAACTTCCCAATTAAACCCCTGTAAGTTCTTGTTATTACCCTTTTACCCAATCTGACCTAATTTCAGCAGTTTCATTACATTTTAGCTTCTATCATTGTCTTCTAGAACCTTCCAGACAATTCTAGATTGAGACTCTCTGATGTTGGTTTTCTTGACCCCCTTAAACTTTTATTATTTCCCTTTCAATTTTTAACTCATTCGAACCTAAATAATCAAATAACTAAAGTTAAATCAAGGCATCTTATTAGATGAACTTAGCTAAACAAATATCTTGATTTAAACCTAAGCAAATGATTGAATTAGAGTAATTAGCTGATTGACCCTACTTTTGAATAATAAACCTAAACAGACCCAAATTCCAAAACAACAAAATAAAAGAAAAACAACAATAGAAAGAAGAAAAACAGAAGATAGTGATGCAATTAACACTAACCTAATTAACCTGAATTTGATTAAATCGAACAAACCTATGTGTTAAGCTAATTGCTAATCAAACGAAACAAACAAGAGAAAAATAAAACAACTAATAACAGTAAAAGGAATCAAGCAGGAAAAGGAAAAAGAAAGAAAGAAAAGGGGTATAACCGGATTCTGCCGATTTGAAACCAATTCACTCGGTCGCCAAAAGTCCTTGTGTCAAGAAAGCCATCCAAAATTTGAATTCCGGATGGGACATTGTCTTGGTCTTGAGGTGGGCCAACGAGACATGTCTTGGTCCATGTACCACTCAGATGCAATGCCAACTAGACTCTCTCCAAAATAAGCCATTAGGAGCTCTTCTTTTCCGCCTACCCCTCTTAATTGATTGAAATATCTCTTGAGGTGAGCTATGGGATCCTCGTGCCCGTCATACTTTTCGAATTTTGGGGTCTTGAAACCCAGGGGCAAATGCACATGTGGGAACATACATAGATCTGCGTAGGATACGCTCTTTTGTCCGCTCAAACCTTGTATATTCTTAAGGCTCTGTTCCATGCTCCTCATTTTTCGGGTAATTTCCTTTTGCTCGGGGTTCTTTGTAGCCTTCTCCTGTCCCGCGGTGAACTCGTACCGGGGTTGTTGAGGGTAAGAATTGGTGGTGAACTGGGTAGGTTCTGGCGGAAAAGATGGTACTTGGAAAGTGAACGATGATGGATCAAAGCTTGGCCTGGGTAAAGTGGGTTGCACCGCAGCCGAGGTTGGTGGTGTGGTAAATATGTTGGAGGCCATTCCCGAAACCACCTAGGGACGAACCTCAGAAGGTGTTCCGGTGAAGTGAGCTGAGATGGTGGGGTATCCAAGTGGGGTATTTGGGTAATTTATTGGGACATTAGAATTTTCATTTGCTCTGGGAAGTAACTCGGGAAAACCGGGTATGGCACTCGGCGGCTCTTTACCATTAGACCAGGCATCCCACATTTCTAGCACGCGGAGGCGCAGTGCCCTATTCTCCTCAGTGGCCGCTGATTCTGAGATTAGGATAACCGATAGCGGTCTATCGTCTGAGATGGGAATTATTGGTGGAAGACCTTCTGATGACATTTCTACACTGCCCTTTGATCTTGTGAAGTACGGGTGTGAAGCTAGGTTACCACAAACCAATCACCTTAAAAACAGAACCTGAACTCAACAGTAGACAACAAGCCGGTTAGTTTGAAGTAATTAACACATAAAAAATCGCACATTAGGGGTGTGATGCACCTATACAGTTAAATGTGTTTCTACATGTTTTGCAACGATTGCATGTCTCATCCCGATTTTTGTTTATCTCCCCGATCTTCTATCTTGCTCTCTTTTGCACTCTCATTTTCTCTCTCGTTCTCATTCTTTTTTCCTTGTGTCTTCTCTCTTCTTTTTTTGGTTTTCTCTTTTTCACATTTCTCTTTTATTTGAGTTATTTACAAAAATCATAATCGGATTCGATGAGGATTGCCTATGTATCACGACGTCGCGTGAATCAGATCATCACATAGTTCAAGGAATAAATGCAACATAAATAAAAACATTTTTGGTTTTTTCAAACTTTTTCATTAAAACAAGATTTCTAATTTTCATTATTACAAAGACTCAACCCTACATACTTGAGAATTAAAAACTTAAAAAAAGACTCGAAACTAACTTTAGGGAATGAAAATACAGACTCGAAAAAGAAAACACAATCAGAAGTACATCAGTGCCTCCAATCCTGTCCTAGGACACCACCTAGTCTTGCTGCGGGCCTACGCGACATGTCATCTTGGAGGCGATAGAGATCCTCCATTATCTGGCGGACAAAGATCATTACTGTGGCAAAGAACATGGACCTGGTCATGTCCTCACACTCGTTGCATTTCATCACAATGTAGTCGGTGATTCTTCTAACCCTTCCCCTGATGATGCCCTTTTCTTGCAACAACCGCCCAATCTGCTGAGATCTAGCCTCCAAGACCTGAGTGGCAGTGTGATTCTGTTCTTGCAAATGTTGTAGGTCTCCCTCTAGCTGTGCCATCAAAGCGTAGTAGTGTTCTCTCTCGGCTTTGAAGCTCTTGGCTTGTTTGGCCATCTCATTCTCGCGGGTGGTTAGCTTTTTCTTCAAGTTTGTGACTTCTCCATCGTATTTCCTTTTTAGTTGTCGAACAAACTCTGCCCGCCCCTCGGCGTTCTTTGCCAACTATGCTCTATCTCTTGCCAAACTGCCTTTGGATTTTTCTAGATCATCCCCGTACTCACATATTTTCTTCCTAAGGCCATGAATGAGTTTTTCATCTGCTCGGCTTCTTTCCGGATTCTCAGCAGCTATCTTCATCCTTTGGATTTGGGCCCGGAGGATTTCATTTTCTTGGGCTAATTTTTTCTTCTCACCCTCATCTGCAACGGCTTGCACATGACTAGCGAACTTAAGGTCTCTGATCTGTCCTTCTAACCTGCTTATGGTGGCCCGATATTCATTTTATTTTGTCAACCACTCCCACTGTTCTTGTGATGCTTCGACAAACTCTTGGAGGTGGGGTCTTTTAGCTGGCCTTCCAAACTCAACTTTCCTTTTGTACCAGGCGAGGTAACTGGGTGAGACTTCACCTCTGGATAGATCACACACTTGGGTATTTGCTGTCAGATAATGGCACTCACTCCAAATCTGGCGAACCACTGTTTCGTGAAACTGGCCATCAGAACGGATCTCGACCACATGAAGGCTAAGGTCTTCATCATTGGGCACTATTTGACATCTCCCTAGCTGTCTCAAAACCCGGTATGGGGCATAAGGCTGGATACTTTTGAGACCCATCAGGAGGAAGTGAGGACCGGTAGCTGGCATGTATATGATTTCATCAACAGGAAGCCAACCTAACGTCCATTCTATTTGATTTTCAGTGACGGAGCGGAGGCAAGATATCCATTCTGCAACCTCTTCTGGCATGTTAAACCCGTCGACCCTTGTATAAAACTCCCCTATGCAGCTTTCTCCTGTCGACTCATAGTTCATGTACTGAGGACGATAACATAGATGGTCAATCATCCACATTTGTAGCAACAAGTTGCACCCTTCAAAAAAGTCTCCTCCGACTTTACAGGCTGCGAGAGCTCGGAAGATTTCAGACACTATCATGGGTGCGAGAGTGTTTTTGGCCTAAGTAAGCAAAGTGTTGACGACCCCAGCTATCCGTACATCGATATTCCCATATTTCCTGGGAAACACTACAAGACCCAAAAATACCACCATGAAAGCGAAGCACCTGTGTTCTTCCCATTTTAGTCGATTCCCTTTGCTGTAAATTCTGCTTTCTGGATTGTTGAAACCCCCTATGTATCCGTATCGCTGGTATATGAATTGTGGAGTGGAAAAACCAGCTGCCAAATCTGGGTATTGGACCCCCTGCTTATCTTTAGTAAATCTAGAAACTTGTGTGGAGTGACAGCTCTTGGAGCGACCAAATACTTGTGTCTCAGAGCTTCAATGCTCCCAATATACCCGACTATTTCTTCCAAAGTGGGTGTGAGTTCAAAATCCGAGAAATGAAACACGTTGTGAGCTAGATCTCAAAACGTAACCAGTGCCTTTATTATGTCTCCTCTAGGCCTGATCTTCAATAACCCGGTGAGACCCCCGAAGTAAAGGTTGACAATATCTCGTCCTGATTCACCCAGATCTTCCCATCACATATACAGTTCCAAAGGAATCTTGCAAGTTTTGACTCGTGCTCATTCTGCACATTTAAATTAAGGTGATTGATTTAAAACAAAGCAAATTTTACAAAAGAGGTCAATTTTGAAAACATTTAAATAACATGGCTACTTTTGCAAACACGGCTCTTCAACACTTTGAAAAGGAAGATTTTAGGGTTGTGCTTGCTAGGTAGCCAAAATTTTGAAAAAGGGCGGTAGGTAATTATTCTTGCAAAAATAGCCTTTCGGCGTCCTTTTGGGGATATTTTGGGCTATTTAGACAAGAACGACATTACCTAATTTTATTTAAGACAGAATAACAACATTTCATTTTTTGGGTTATTTTCGCAAAAATAAAGTTGGACCCAGTAAGAGTTGTCTGCGTATCCCACATCCGATGAGAATCAAACTTGCGTAGTTCGGTCAGTTTTGACATAATAAAATATTTTGAAACCATTTTCCTTCTTTTCTCTTTTTTTTTCAAAACATTTCGGCAGAGTTTTGATATATTTTGGACAACAGGTTTTTTCGAAGACGGGTAATTATCTCTCTCATACCTCAATTTTATTTTTATTTTTCAATTCCATCCCTATTCTAGTAACTGGTCAACATGCAAACCGAAGCAAATAATTGCACAAGTAGCACGTAAAATATGCATCAGGATGGTCTTTGATTCTGGGGTCCACCTATCCTAGACGGACTTAACCCCTGTGTTGAGTCCCAAAGTCAAATGCACATGATGCAAACAAACGTTCCTACTAGGGATCCGGCATGAGTCTGAGTTATTCTAGGTTTAAAACCTGGGTATATTGTTCTAGACTTGTGTACCCGAGCAGAAAACTCGAGTCGAGGGGGGGCTACGTACCGGGTACCAAAAGGCCATCCGGCTTTGTAACTTATCCGAGCCTCTTTTTTATTTCAAGGTATGACACTAACAGAAAGATGAGTCACGCCAGCGTGCACATCCTCGAAGATGAGAAGAGAAGATTTTCGTAACAGTTTATATACAATTCAAATAATATCAAAGCGGTAAAAAGTGTCATTTAGCACATTAGGCTCAAATATGTAAAAATCAGATAATGAATAAAGCCAAAATATAACAGTTATTCTAAGCTCGAATTCTTAAACCCTGAACAAAAGTTCTGGGTTATGAGTCCCCAGCAGAGTCGTCAGAGCTGTCACACCTCCTTTTTACACCCCGAGGGTATATGGGAGTTTTTTCAATTAAAGTGACATTATTCGAAATAGGATTATTTAATTCAGAGTCGCTACTTGGAATATTTTAATTAGTGTCCCAAGTCACCTGTTTATTTTAAAATCCCAAATCGAGGAAATTTCGACTTTACTTTATAAGTCTGCGAACCAGAAATTCTAGATAAGGAATTCTGTTAACCCGGGAGAAGGTGTTAGGCATTCTCGGGTTCCGTGGTTTTAGCACGGTTGCTTAAACTATTAAAATTGGCCTTATTAACTGATTGATTACACATTTTTAAACTTATTGTGCATTTTTAACCTGAGAATCGCTTTTGATTAATTATTGTTACATATTGTGAATCATGTCACGGGAACCGTACCCATGATCTACAACATGTTTAATTTTTAAAGATTAAATTATGGCCGAGTCACATAAATGTACCCCCTGATTTTAGTAATTAGGCGTCACAAACTACGTCACGGGAACAGTACCCGTTGCCACACCTCTTTTTTACACACCCGAAGGAATATATATATAGGGAAGTTTTTCCAATTTAAGTGACATTATTAGAAATGAGATTATTTAATCATTTTTATTCAGAGTCGCCACTTGGGATGGTTCGTTTTCTGGTGTCCCAAGTCACCAGTTTATTTTGAAATCCCAAATCGAGGAAAATTCGACTTCCCTTTTGAAGTCTGTGAACCAGAAATTCTGAATAAGGAATTCTGTTAACCCGAGAGAAGGTGTTAGGCACCCCCGGATTCCGTGGTTCTAGCACGGTCGCTTTAAACTATTATAATTGGCCTATAATCTTATTTTAATACATGTTTTAACCTATGGTACATTTTAACTCATTAACCGCTTTTAATTATTTTTAAGGGAGATTCAACGTTATCTAAAACACGTCTTGAACCACGCCACATGAAATGCACCCGCGGTCCGCGACACATTTTATTTAACCTTGTTGAGATTTGAATTTGGGTCACATAAAATGCACACCCGAGTTTAAGGAAGTTAATTTAAATTACGCGCCTAAAGTAACTACGCATTTTCAAGTTTGCGAGGGCCATGGAAAATTTAACTAAATGACACATCTCGATTTCTAAGGATTAAAAATTAAGTAAGGATCATGCATTTTGAGATTTTATTTGGCATGGCACAACTCGATTCCAATTTCAAAGGAAGCTTGAACTCTTAATGTTTAAAGAATTTGGATATGGATAAAACTCTGATATTACTAAGTTTATCATCAATAGAAAAATATAAACAATCAAAGTCTACATGACATTGCAAAAGATTCTGAACAGCTTTCCCTCATTTGATTACAAGAAACACCAAATTTAGTCGTCCGCCTACTAGTCAACGAAACAAAAATATGTTTTTTAATTTATTAGTCAATTAATTATATGGAGAAGCTATAGAAGAACTATTGATGGACAAATTACAAACAAGCTTGAATCACAGCTATTTTAAACCACACGACAGCACTTGATTTTACTAACTATAGGGCGACCCATCAATAAAACACTGAACCAACTTTCCAAAATTCTAAATCAGATTCAATTACAATAAAACCTTGTTCAACTAATTTATTTAACAAATAATAGAAAATACATAAATGAAGCCTAGAGCGATAACCACTATCACTAAATTGCAGTTATGAGCTACTAAAGGGAAGCTGAAAATCAGTATAATCATTAATTTAAGGTCACAGATATGCAGAATGCTTATCAACAATTTTAGTCAAAAAACAACCACAAACTCAGCATTAACAGATGTGGATCCCAGCCACTCTTTCACAAACAAATTAGCAATGTCCAATTCATCAAGATCGTAAAAGAAAATAGAAGAAGTAGGGAATGAACATGAGCCAATTTCAATTAATTCAACAAGAAAAGTGTAAGTTTACAGTTGTGTACCTCTCAACTAAGGCAAACAAGGAAGGTGAACCAAATAAGGGCCAGTATGTGAAAAACAACAAGGCGTCGTCAAGATGAAAACTCAGCCGCAACAGATTCGAACTCAACAAAACAGCTATGAACTCAACTTTAACCCAGAAAGAGAAAACAAAACTCACAAAAAGCTTTCGCCAATATCAAACCCGAACACCTCAAATTCTGTCAAAACTCAAGTCCATTATGAAGCAAAAAATCGAAATCGAAGAGAAGAAACAGAACAGACGTGACATTGGACTATTCTTGAGCGTTTTTTTGCTGATTTGCAGCCGCGTTTCTGCTATTTTCGCAGCTGGTTTGATGCAATTTTTGGGACTGATTTCATGCGTTTTGGGGGTAGTCTGTTCCGGCGGGTTTTTGGGTGGAAACGGAAGGTTGATGCTGGTGGTTTTTGGAGTCGATTTCAAGTTCAGGGGGTGGACGGACGAGGGTACTGCTACTGGTTTTTTGGTTCGGAGATGGAGGTATAGAGCATCGATGGGGTCTTTCACTTGGGGAGACCCGTCGTTTCCCTGTGTGTGTTAGGACTTAGGATCTGTGATTTTTGTTGTTGAAGAAGATGGTCATGGCTGCTATCCTCAAACGTTAAAGAAGGTGAAGAACAGGAGGGAGGTTCGAAAATGGTCAACAACAGCGCCTCCTTTCTTTTTTCTCTAGGCGTTTTTAGGTTTTTTTTTGTGTATATGTCCGCCTAGGTCTTGTAGGTCTAGCTTCCTTTTATAGGTTTAGGATTTTAGGGTTATATTTAGGTTAAGGGGTATAGGCCTATGAATTAAGGGTTTGGGAATTATGGGCTAGGTCCAAAAATTAGGCCTAAAAACGGGTCGCTTGATCCCAAATTTTATTCTTTCCCCGCGAACGAGACTAAAAAAATACGATCTTACTTATTAATTAATCTTACGTAAACAAAATAACTATTAAAATAAGACCGACCGTTAAAACAAAACCTTTTTTTTGTAATTTTCGTTTTCTTGTAATAAAATAAAGTAAAAGAGTAAAAATGAGTTGAAATAGCTATATTAGGCCTAAATTAAATATTTACATGCTAAAATATGAAAATCTTGGGGAGGGTCAAAAATCACATGTCTACACCCGTAGCTATGACAATTATTTGATTAACGCGCCTAAAGCAAAACTATGAAGGTTCAAGGCATTTCTAAACTAATTTTGTATTTATATGAGGGCCATAAATTAAAGGATTTTATTTGTATATGGCACACCCCAAATTATTTTAAGAAGAATTAGTTCTTGATCTAAATTTGCAAGGGCCATGTGTAATAGATTTAAGGCATGGCACACCTCAAATTATTTTAAGAAAAAGGGTTATATATTTTAAAAGGCAAACCAAAGGTATTCTTATTTTAATCTAATTTAAAGTTAATTATCACAACCACATCACGGGAACCGTACCCGGAGTTGTAATAATTTAACTGCGCGCCTAAAAGCAATCTACGATGTTCATGAATTATTTTTTTTTCCTACGTTGAAATTATTTACAAAGGGGCTATGGTTACAAGAGGGATTATAGACTTGAAGGAAAACAATTTTGTTGTGCATAATAAAACAAAGCAAGTTGTGCAGATTCACCCCTATGATTAACAAGAAAGGCTTTTTAGCATAAGTAAACCATACTCAATTAACAGAGTCAAAGTTGTATTACTGTTTAGTATGTATACTAACAAATAGCAAGATCTGCAGTTTCAATGTGTTACATTAGAGCTTCCATGGACGCTCCAGACGCAAGGATATGATTGCTTTGGATCAATATAATTTCATAGAGCTTGGATATTATTGAACACAAATTCAGAGATGTTCCACCAAAATTTTCTTTAACACAGTTTTCACGTTCTCAATTTTCCAAACCAAAACGATCCAAAATGTGGAATCAGAAAGGGGATGCCTACACGATATAAACTTGAACCAAGGACATCCTAGATTCAATTAAGCAGCCTAACATTTTTTCAAATACTAATACACGGTCATTACAATCAACATTACAAAGCAGATTTGAATTGAAATTCAAAGTTCCTTTACAACCAACCACACTTTATGAATCCAGTTCTTTTTCTTGAATCCAACAGGATTATAACAAATACACCTCAACTAAACTATATTCCATAATGTTTTTTTTTAATTTTGTGTCGAACTCTTTGCTAGCATTTCAAACTCTACATTTAAATCAGTAATAGGCAGACTTCAAACAATTCTCACAAGTTATAATTGGGGAGGTATTAGAAATGTTACCAGTGAAGACATGTTGGATACAGATTTTTGTCGTTCAAGTACACCATTCTGTTAACTAGCAAACATCCCATTGTTTCTTACACTACCTTTTAGGAGTACTCATTTTGGGCGTCTCCTAAAACTAGTGTTCCTACCCATTAATAGTCTTTTCTCCAAGAAGGGAAATGTTAGAAATCTTTGTCCAGTTAGTTTATGTTCTTGGAATCTTTGTACAGTCTAGTTTTTTACAGCGGAGTTGAAAAAGTTTTCAGAAACAAATAACACTGAATCAAGAGACCTACAACATAGCTGCAACGTTAACACTATGCTTGGTTCAATTTAACGACGAAGGGAAAGAAAAGCAGGACTTTGTGAATTCTCAGAAAGCTAGAATTAAACCCCTTCATCGTTTTTGTTGATACAGTGAAAAAACTATCTATACATGTATCAAGTTTCTGACGATATCACCTTATTTAAGCAACTCAAAATACACAACAACCTGCCAACTGAACATTAACCAAATGCCTTCTTTTCTAGTAAGTATTTCAGTAGCTCAACATAAATATGAAAGTTTTGGAAAAATTCACTTCTCAAAGTAAAAAAGCAAACTTAACCAAGTTACTCCTTTGAAGCTACACCATATTTCAAACAAATCAGAATAGCTTAGCAAACTCGCAAAAGGAAACAAGACTTAGCTATCAATCAATCGTGGAAATGAAACAAATGAAACCAGAATAATTCCATACAAATCTCACCCAAGCAAATATGAGCTTTATATCATTCAACCCAAAGTGTCTACCTGATTACAGCAGAACAAACAACAAGGAAGTGGATCTCTGGCACCAAATAACTGAATTGTAAACTCTTCCTTCAACTCCAGCCCGATTAAGCTATGAGCAGAAAACAACTAAAAGAAACACAGCTCCAAAATCATAGTAAGGGTCAGCAGCAACAAGAACCCGAACAGAAATCACGAATACGACTCGGAATCACGAATGGACTGGTCTGAGACTCGATTGAACTCCACTCTTTAAAAAAAAGAGTCAACAGATTGCAGAATTTTTCTCTTTTTTTTTGTAATTTTCTGACTCTTTCGGAATGAAAACTCAGACCATTTTTATTTCTTGCTCTTCGTTTTTTCTAAAAAAAGATGTAGACTAAAAAGACCTGAAGAGAAGGAAAAACTTCAAAAACCCTGAAGTTTACTCTAACCTTTCCGAAAATTTCTTCCTGGATTTTTTATCTGATTTTTTCTTCCTCTAAAACAATAAAACTCACCTCCTATATATAGCCTTCAAAAATTCTCAAATCTTCTGCCCAAAAAATCCGAAAATCTTCACATTTTTGAACGATTTTTGGGACAAATGGAAGGCGTGGATCGATTTATCTATCCACGGCTCCCATTCATCCAGCAAATCGTTCCATTCGTACAAAAATCGTGCAAAATTCGGAGAGAATATTCGTTTCTTTTTGACAAAAACCGTTGGAATAAAGGTGACGTGGAGGGGAGGGGACCATTTGAGTGAACTCGCCTGAGTTTCAGGCGATTTGAAGCTGAATCGATCGAAGAAGATGAATGAACAGTGTAAGGAGCGCCGTTTTCTGATTTTTCCTAGGTATAGGGTTTGATTAGGGAAATGTTATGAGGGGTTTTATATGGAGGGGAAATGGGCGGGTCAATTAGGCGGGTTTGGGTAGTTGTTTGGGCTGGGGCAGTAGAAAAGGGGTATCTGGGCTGAGGGTCCAAAGGTGCAGCCCAAGTGTGTTGGGCCCTTTTTTTAAAAATCATTTTTCCCCTTTTCTTTTATTAAATCTTAATCTCTTTTTTTAATTAAAAATCCCAATAATTTAAAATCCTAAATTATCTAAAATATGAAATTAAACTATTTAAATAATTATAAAAATGATAAACATCACTTACTTCTAAATTAAAAGAAGAAAATCAATAAACTAAAAATTAAAGGACAAAAATGTAAGAATGAGCTATTTTTATGATTTTCGAATTTCTATAAAACAAATAATTACTGGTTAATTATAAAAATGTAAAAATAAATCCTAAATGCAATGCATGATATTTCTAGTATTTTTCATGATTAAAATAAAATTAAACATGCATAGAAATTCAAATAATTAAGAAAATTTTACAAAATTCCTAAAAAATGGTAAATAATTAACAGAAAAATCTATTTTCTTGGGATTTTGTAGGAGTATTTCATATAGGGCAAAAATCACATGCTCATAGGAATACTCTGAGGTTTTCATCTTTCAGAAAAATTCCTCCGCTTCTTCAGCACTAACTGGCTTCTTAAGCGGAAACCGCTTCTGCTTTGTTTTGTTCAATTCTTCTAGGTTGAGGTACTTCCCAGATTGGTTCATTTCATTTACTTCCTCCATGATTTCTTTTCCTTTGTATCTGACCACTGCTTTGTTGTAGTTCCAAGGGATGGCAGCGGGGTCTTTCATGGGACTCTATAGTGCACGGCTGATAACCACGGGCTCAGTCAGCCTGGGTGAAATTATCGGCCCCCGCGCCATATAATTCCCCTTTGGTAAGTACATCTTTGGTACCTTCAGCATGACCTTGTTTTACTCAAGCCTTTTGGGAGGGCTCAACACGAATTGTTCCTTTCTGGGGGCCCTAGGAACATAGAGAATGACATCTTTAGGTGGTGTTGCCCCTGTCTTTGTTTCCACATCCTTTTCTGCGCTTTTGGGAGTGAAGTTGATCTTTTTCTCATCTTTAGCTTGTTTTGCTTACGCTTTGGGTTTCTTTTCTAAGTCAGGATAGCGATGATAGCTTTCAAAGCTGGGTCGAATTCTTTGTCCTCACAGATCATCCCAATGACTGGCCCATTATTGTGAGCCGGTAATGGGTTATCAGTTACATTGGGGACTTTATCATCCCTCAACACTACCCGCTTATGTTCTATTAGATTTTCGACTGCCCTCTTAAGGGTCCAACAATCTTCAGTGTCGTGCCCTTCCACCCATGAGTGCGAAGTGCATCTGGTACCTGGCCGATAGGACGGCAATTCTGGGTTCTTCCTGTTTGGAGGTACAGGCCCATTTGGACTAATTTAGGGAAAGGGCTGGAATATGACTCACCAATGGGTATGAAATTAGCTTTTCTGGGTGGTTCACGGGGACAGGTGTTATATTGGTAATTATTCTGTGGTGGACGTGGATTATACGGGGCTTGGTGAGGATTGTTGTTTCTTGGAGGTGGAGCTCGGTTCTGATTGTAATGTTGTTATGGACGAGTGTATGATTGGGCGTTCATTGCTTCATCCTAGTGGGGGTAGTAATATTATGGGGGCCTGGGAGGGGAACCAAAGTAACCTCGGGGTTGAAGGGAATTCTTCAAGCTTGAAGCCATCATCGCTCCCTCTTCTTTCTTTTTCCGGTTTGCTAAACCTCCCGAACCACTCTGGATTGCTTGGGAAATGGCTCTTATAGCTGATTGACTCATAA